GGGGGACGAGCCCCCCAGGCACCGGGGGGTTGTCCTGGAGAGGGGAGCCCGGCAGCGGAGGGACCCGGGCTGGAAAGAGGGCCCTGCGCGGGAGCCATGAACCCCTCCGGGCTGGAGAGGTGAAAACCCCCTTTTGTAAGGGGGGGACATACCCGGAGCACAGTCCCTGCCATCACAGGTGGCCCGGCCACCTCCCCACACGCCCAACCTCGAGCCCCGCACCCAGGCAGGGTCCACACAGCAGTGTGGTCCTTACCCTAACTCTGCTTAATTTCAAGGGCCAACAAAACCAGCCATTTTTAAACTCGCGTCCCTTTCAAGGCAGCAACCTTCCCTTGCTGCAGAGCACCAGCCTTTAGGTGCCAGGCCTGGCTCTGTGCCCCCCTGAGCTTGCCCCTCCTGCCCGGCGCCCCTGCGAGCCCCAGGGCAGGGCGCTCGGACGAGAAGAAGGGGTGCAAACCCCCCAGCTGATGATGGTTGGTTCCCAGGCCTCTCAACGCAGCCCATCTGGCGCCAGCTGTGGGACGATGTGATGAAAACCAGGCCGCCCAACTCGGAGGTGAGGAAATGCTGCCAGCAGGAGAAGGGGCACGACCCAGGTTTCTTCCGTGAGGTTTCCTTTCCAAGCCTGCCAGTGCTGCTGGCTGCCTCCGAGTGACTGGTGGTGCTTGTTTATAAGCGTTCATAGAGCTCTGGACCAAGGCATGACCCTGGTAATAAGACCATTTTGGGCAATGGGGTTCTTAAAAGGAGGTGTAGTGTACAGCCACACCCTGCACGTCACACCAGTGAGTTTCCCAAAAGGATAAATCCTGTCTTTAGAACTGTAATTCCTAGGGAAATAGGATAAAAACAGTGTCTTATCATGTATCATGCTTACACCTACGCTGCCAAAAAAATGCACTGATGTCCTAGAAAGCAATACAAAAATACTTCCAGAAGACAGTGAGTTTGGACAAATGGTTTTACACAGGAAACCTGAAGCACTTCCATTGATTCATTGATGCAAAATAATAATTAGCAGACAACTTAATCACAGCCTATAAATAGATGCTTGGGAAGAAAATTCCTGATGATGTGGATTTTTAAAAGGCGAAAACATGGCTTAGCTTCAAACTCCTGAATATGTTTAAATCGGGTCAGAAGCAGGATGAATAGAGTGTGACGGGAGTAACTGTTTTTCAGTGAACACACTGAGGAAGAATGTTGAGAACTAGAAAGGTGGTTTCAGTTGTGCTAGGAGTAGGGGTTTTTTTGATACCACATTTACCAAGTGAGCGGATAGCAATGATTTAACTTTAAAAGAATGAGAAAAATTGTGGCTGACTTTTTTTTTTTTTTAACTGTGGCCCTGTTGTTTAACTGCAGAACATAACTTGTTGGAGGAAGAAGTTCCTTGAAACATTCTTCTCAAACGTTCTTCATGGTGTCCTGGATGTTTCTTCTGACTGGCGTCTCAATGACCATCACTTTTCACCACTGCTTCACAGCTCCCCCCACGTTTCCCAGCTCACCCTCTGCAACATGCTGCAGGGCGCGGTGGAACTTGCTGCTGAGCACAACCAGAAAGTGCTTGAAAACCTGGCTGGTTCCCTGAGGATCCTGAAGTTCCAGCACCTCCTCTCCTCCGACCAGTCCATCAGGCGTTCGCTGGTTTTACTTCTTCACCGGCTGATTCACCACGGCTCTGTCAGCCAAGTGTCCATGTACTCCTGGCCTGTTCCTGACACGGTTCTGCTTGTTCTCATTTTGAGCATGAGTGCTGGGTTCTGGCGCTCGGGAAACGCCCTCGCCTATCACAGCAGCCCGTGTGGCCTTTGCAGAGAGGTGGACAAAGCCCAAAGCCAGGAGTCAGCACAAGAGCGAGCAGAGCGGGTCCTTTGTGGCGAGAGGGAGCAGAGTGATGGCAAGAACCAGAAGGGATCCCCCAGAGCCCAGGAGGAGGCTGATGTGGAGGTGAATGGATGCAGGGCTGACACCCACCCGAACCCTGTTCTCTCTGGACCAAGAAGTCCTCCTCTGCAAAACCAAGCATGTGTGGAGGCAAGCAGCGAGGTGCCCTGTGACCACAGTAGCATTCAGGGAGGATCTTCCCCTCGTTGCACCTCAGAGCAGCTGTCCTGTCACCCCATTCTTCAAAAGACACGCAGACGGCTGAAATCTGCAGTGGGGAAGAAACGTCGCTGCCTCCGACGAAACAGGGGACCACGTGCTGACCCAGAAGACCTGTATGATTTTGTTTTTACTGTTGCAAGAGAGGATAATTCAGGGTTTCTTGACAAAAACGATGCCACAGAGGGAGAAGATACTGAGAACTGGACTGTTTCCTCCTCAGGATCTCTGTGCACTGGCCACGCCGGATGTAAGAAAAGAGGAGGATCTGCTGGGACCTTTTCTCTGAAAGTTGCTCACCGCTTCCGAAGTGTATCCACACTGGAATTGTTCTCCATTCCTTTGACTGGGGAAACATGTCGGACCCTGAGTAACCTGCTGAGCTCCTGGGTGTCTTTAGAAAACTTGGTTCTGTCTTACAATGGTTAGTGGTGTGGACAGGTTGCTTCCTGCCAGACTTGGTACTTCCTAGTCAGGTTTACCCTGACTATTCTTACTGGAATGGGCATTGTAAGAGTATTGGTACCTAGTCTTGAGAATGGCACCAGTAGAGATGGTTAATGAGTGTGAGGACGTGTATGAGGGAGAGATTGGGGCTCTTCTGCACCAGAATAGCCCTTGGCCATGTGCTTAAACACCATCCAGAGAGGGGGACGGGAAGAGCCAGATCTCCCATATATACAGTCTAGCTTAAGAACACATGGGTAAAGCAGGCTGTGAGTGTAGCCTTTGACTTAAGTTGCTTGTCCATTGGTGCCGCTCCAGTTGTGTGTGTGTAGGTGCCTGTACAGGCACAGCTAACACCTTTCTGTACAAATGCTGTTCCAGGCCTGGGTGCTAACATCTTCTGCATCCTCTCTGGGCTCCGGGCCCTCTCCCGCCACTCGGACTGCCAGCTCCGCGTGTTGCGCCTCAGCGACATCTTCTCCCACATGCCTTGCATGGAGCTCGTTCACTGCGTCCTGAGCGCCTTTCCCCAGCTCCACACGCTCTCAGTCAGCTTCGACCTCAAAAACCAGCTGGAGGGCAACAGGCCAGAGGGGAATCCAAGCTGCAGTGAGGCAGAAATCCCAGGTAGGAAGCAGATTCTGTCTGATGTCTTCTGTGGCAGGCAGATAGAGCTGTAAAAGATTGGCACGCAGATTTGAAGTCTATGCTGTTACTACTGATGTGTAATTAAGCACTTCCAGCCTCACCTTTCTGATATAGATGGTGTTGCAATTTGTAATTTCCAGTCTGTAACATGCTCTGTGAAGTCTGAGTCTTGGACGGAGCATTTTTTTGCTGTATGCCAGTCTGCTGCAACACCAGCTTTGTACAGGGCCAGCCATAACCTGCTAGTGGTGACTGTCCACGCAGCCCCCCAGGGAGTGTATCCCACCATACCAGTAAATTGGTCAGGAGCTTTTGCTTTGCCCATCTTATTGTGAGGCTCCAAGCCTTGGACAGACTCTTTAAGCAGAGGGAAAGTATCTCTTGATCACAATACCACAGGTGATGGCTAAGCACTGCCCAAGCCTCTGGATTTCAGTCTGGGACCTATGCAGTGTGTTCTCAGCTCACAGGTCTCATCACCCATATTAGCCCTTGAATGACCAGAAGAGCAGCAAACAAAGTCTGAGAAAGTATGGTCAGTGAAGACCTGTGCTCTGGAAGGACACCAACTGGTTTGTGTGTAAAGGGTGACCTTTTCTCAAGTGTTGTTTCACTGCCAGAACCCAGTAGAAACTGGTGCCCCTGTGGTCTGGCCGGAGTCCTGAAATAAGCCTTAGGTGACCGTAGGTCTCAGTTGCCATACAGCTCTGTGGGGCAGGGCACAGTGCACAGACACTTTCTGTGGACCTAAATGATAGTCATGTGAGGCACAAGGACTTCTTGCGTGCTCTAGGACCTAGCTATGTTGAAGACAGGCACTCCAGACCAAGGTCTTTTGTTGTTTTTCTTCCCTTAGAGAGCTGCCTGGAGCAGTTGGAGATCCGATTCCCCAGGGATCCTCTGCACACTGCATTCCT